TTTAGCATTATGGCTTCTTCAGGCACAGGGATGGATCCAAGATAGGTAGAGATTAAGAGTGGCGACAAAATGGCTCTCTGAAGGACACCGGAAGTGGAGGTACTAGGCAAGGAGCTCCTGCTTTTACACCTGGTTATCTGAGTATGTTTGCCAAAATAATCCTGTAGCAAAAAAGCTGTGGATGGTTGGAAAGCAGAAGCCAGGAGAGCTTGCAACAAACTTTCGCGGGTAACACAACCTAAGGTGTTGGTATAGTCAAAGAAGCATACACGCGTGGCTTTTTCTTAATGTCTAGCGACGATAGAACTGAGTGCACTAGACTAGCCACTGTATGTTGTGTCTACCTCGAACTGCGGTATACAAATTGATGTGCGTCATTCAGAAAGGATTGGGTTAGCAATTTTTCGAGAATGAGTTTTTCCAAGATCTTTTGAACCACTGAATGGTACGCAATATGTCGATATCTACCTGTCGCTTTCTTCGGTATTGGTATTATACTAGCAGATCTCCAATAGTCTGCGATCTTGCCTTGGTTTAGGCACGTGGTGTACAACTAAACTAACTATTGGGCTAGTGAATGTACACACTCTTTAAGCACGAAGGGTTACAACTGGTCAGGTGGGCTTGTTTTGCTTGAGTCTAACTAGGTTAGCTTCCTGTGAAGTGCTGCAACATCAACAACTGGCGATGCGTCTGTAAGCCACTGTATCTGTGCAGGTGACGAGTTGGGGAGTACTTCAGTGCTGCAGCAGCAGAAGTTGCCATTTAATTACTCTACGTCTGTGTCAGAGTTCGTGCTATGACGAGCGACTCCACTAAATTTTTTCATCATCTGCCAGGTCTCACGCCATATATTGTTCCCCAAAATTGTCTGTACATAGATATGATTGAGGTGGTGAATTTCTTCCCTAATGCGTAGAGAAAAACTTCACTGAGGCACTGTCCTTAATTTTGAATGCTCTCTCCTTAAGCCGACGCAGCTGCTTGAAGAGTGGGGAGGAGGACTGGTCAGTACGAATGAGAATAGTTTTCATCGGACAGCAGAGATCAAAAAATGGTTCAGATAACTTGTCATCTGGTCACAATATGTTGAGATATCTGCACTGAAAAATAAACCGAAATCTGTAGAGACAACCATTTCTTTCAATTGTGTTGTGTCTTCCCTTTCTGGGTCCTACAATGTTGCGCGTCTCGACTCCAGTCAGCTCTCGTACACACCAACTATCGGCTGGGTCCCTTAGGCCGTGTCGATCCGAATTCATTTGGCTACTCAGCGTGTGGAATAATATCGGTAAAATGCGTTTCGTCCATTCCAACTAAAAGTCGAAACATCCAAGACTTTTATAGTAGATATTGCCGGATCCCCATGGAACCATGACCGTATGGAAAGGAGCAACTAGCAGTTCGATCGTTGTTTCTGTAGTTTCCGTTTTTAGCTTACTTTAACCGTCAAGCCCATACCTATGTGAGGGAACAGTGGTGCTACTTGCGAAGGCTCCTCTCCTGACAAGTTCACCTCTAGACTGTTGATATACACACAGTGATTCACTGGTCATAAAGGGTACTGCCTTAAACTCACTATGTTCGTTCAACAGAACCGTTGGGTCCTATCAGTTTTAGTCGGCGGTGGTTTGAATTTTGCACCAATTTGCTTATCAAAACGTAAGTGAAAGCAGCAAGCACACAGTCGCGAATAACCAGTGCTTTGTTGCATATGACGTACTTAACGAGGCTTCCTTTCGTGCACTCGCGGAGAGACTAAAGCATCAATACCCACAACATCCTATGGGATAAAGCAAAGTGCTGAAGACCACTAGACCGGTCCAACTCCCAGTTCGGTGTGCACTTGGCATGACTGCGAAAAATTCTTGTAAATCAATACATCCGGCCTGGTCTTATAACTGGCCGAAATTAGACGACCTCCGTCCATGCATCCACGAGATCCCACATTGTTTATTGATGTGCAGCTGAGATGATCAACTTTTCCTTTTGGTTCTGACTGCAGTAATACAGAGCAACGACACCTCTTCTGATTGTGTCTTGATACTCTGAAGGATGTTTGTGTTTGCGTACAGGCATGTCTCCGTCGCTGGAGACTTCGTTGCTCACTACACGGATGTTCTGGAGTCCGTTAACGAACCGTGTTGTGCCTATCTGCTTTCCTGTGACGATATTTTTCTCCTATTAAGCTCTGCAATGCTAACTACTCATCCATACTTGATCTAATGCTCGCCAATGACCAACGACCACCGGGTACTTACAGGTTGTCGTTTGGGTTATGGTGACCCCGTGAGTTTGTTTTTTTAACGTTTGTACTATGCCGAACATCCCATAAAAGCAGCTTAACGGGTACTCATTATCATTTACTGTGACTCGCTGTATACACTCTAAGGCAACAGTCTGAGCATTCCTGATCGATTGCCTATAAAAGTTCATCTTGGAAGCACCAGCTACCAATCTCTACGCGTTGGCTATAAAAATCTGGAACGAAAGCCTTCCGTTACACATTTGAACCACTTTTCTTCTGATGGTCAGGTCACGAGTGTCTAAAGGGACTCAGAATGGTTATTGTTATAATTTGATGTCGAACATCTACCCCAATTTCTTGTCGAATGGGGTTTCATTCCACCCGGACCAGGCTGTGGAACGCCACCCGAACTGAACGAATCAATTATCTCGTTTAGCGCACCAGTTTAAATAGGAAGGTAAGAGGACTTGAAATGAATGTCATGCTTCCTAGTTTCGGAAGGTTTAGCATACAAATAGGTTTTGCACATGCATATATTTTGGCCCCCTTTGGCTCTGGATACAGGAGCTTCTTTAAGTTAGGTGCTTGTGTCTAGAGCGAAATTCAGACTCAATACATACATCCATAAAATCAATTTATGTTACAAACATTCCGAGTGAACCCCCCATCGGTTTCAAGCTGACTGCAAGTCATTGAATGTCACAATTACCGTGTTCTGCGACTGTTCGGAGCGTGTAACCACACTGTGGTTATGAAACTGCATGAGCCCATATAAAACAAACTTTGATGCATTACTATCGCTTTGTTCGGGGCGCGCCGATCAAATATACAGCTGCATTCAGCGATTGCGTCCGGGTTCCGGACATTGCTTCGGGTTACACCGACGTAACGCTAGAGCTGATGCACTATGTTCGTTCCACTAACAATATTATTCGAAACACGTTGTTCAGATGAAAATTGTTGCTCTGTGTGCTCAGTCTCCTCCATGTACTGGGCAACTGTGATGGTCTGTTGTCACCTATCCGATAAATCCGTCCGATTTTGCAGAACACTATATATGCTAACTTACACCATTAATTGTCATGTTTTTCACTTCCTCGACTGCAAAAGCTCAAGTGCCAAGTTCGCTCGTTTAGTCCTTAATCCTGCGGCTTCTTGCGCGAGTTTTAAAATGGTTTGTAAGATCCCTTCAGGAGAGTACCCACAATTAAAAACGTAACCCACTCTATTGACGATCAGTGCTGACCCGCAAACAATGCTAATTGCATGTAGCCGCGGTCAGACGATCAGCGCGTCTCCTGCAACGGTTGCGTCCAGGCTATCACGTGGTCCCTCGTGGGGTGTGGTGTGATATGGTGCGGTGTAGGTAGGCTGATGATGTCAGCGCCCCCTACTCTTACACCGCCGCTGTAGTCGGACTATGTTTGCACCAACGAACTTGCCTGGTTTTTACTCCGCGGGATGCGGCTTATTGACACGGCGCGCTTCTCCTAAATGGCACCACCTCGACCACCTGCTTAGGACGTTTCCTGTTCGGAGGGAATGAACGCTTAATCCTCGAGACCGTGTTAAGCTCAGGGACGGTTCTACCACAGAACGAACACCGCTTAACCATCGCCTCTGGCACACACGTTTTCTGAAGTTTTACATCAATGACGTGCGTCATGGAGTTCAGACAACCTACGAATCAGTCATCGCTGCCACCCATATGCCTCCCGGACTTAATCCTTCGGATTTACACTGGATATGCGGTGTCCTAGTGGGGCTGCGTTATGCGCTCGTGAGCATACTTTTGGCACATGTGCTGTGGGCGCTCTTAGCCACAATGATAAGCAAGTTCGAAAATATCTGCTTTTCATCTAAATTCAACGTCTATCTCTGTTGTGTTACTTATACTGTCGGGGTGAGTTATATGGGAAAAAAGAACTCATTTATTTAAAACTTATTCTGTTCTCACTAGCATACTCTGGCTTGGTCGTATTCGACTCGTGCTATTGTCTCTTGAGGATGTTCACGAATGAACGTTTACCGGTTCGTATCCAAATGATTGCTCGCTTTTACTGGCATTTTGACTGCAAAACTGCATCGGAGTATGCTTCTTCGGTCACGTTATTCGCCTTCTACCATGGACTTGTTCCTTGTTCGCCTTAATCCCACCGTGCTGAGTCACTGACCGATGAACTGGGCGTGCCAAGCTTTTTCACTGTATAGCTTTCTTTGGTTTTAACTGAAGGCTGACACTCCACCTGCTCTGCCCCCATGCTTGTGGTCCGATTACGAGCTTTTAGAAAAACTGGATTGGCCACAGGTTTTGTATATACCTTCCTGACTGATATCTACTTGGGATCGTTCGTAAAATCTAACTCCATATTCCAGCCTGTTTTATCTAAACTTACTGCATCTAGCTGAAGTAGTTATCGCTGTATCCACTGATTGGGCGGATGTCATGGTGCTGTCTCCGACCGTCGACCATCACAGTCACTAATTTAGTTCATGCTGAATTTTTAACGGTTCCCGATAGCCAAGGCTTCCTGTGTAATCTGCAGATTTTCTGTTACCATGCACTTTTTTGTCAACAAGCTAATGCACTTTTCCAGTTGATGACAGATCCTCTTCCTCAGCTTCATCTAGCATTTCATAGAAACCTCTCTCTTTAACCTTGCAGTCCCTTACAAATCCTCATATACCAGGTGCCCAATCAAATGTTTACCCGCTCGTTATTGTGTCATCACTCTTTGGCTCTCCGTTTTAGCCCCAAGACCGATGTCCAATCTGCGAGCCAGTGCCCTCTCTCATGACATGATCCTGATCCATCTGGACAAGGAGCAGCACGTTTCCACTCATGATTATTGTGCACCCGTCGGATACGCAATTCGTTTGTCCGATCCTACCACATTGGAATCTACCTCTCCAATGCTTCTGACATTGGAAGACCTGGCTGGCGGGTCACATTTGCCTCTGGTATCACCCTCTTGGACCTCCGACGACAGTTCATATAATATGCTCCTAACTCATCCTCTAGTGAATGCCACAAAGCTTCACCTCACAGTGGAGAGTTTTGCTACAAGCATGTCTCCCGGTGTCAAGGCGGATGTGAATCTGCGAAACTTGGAATTTTGTGAGTTAGTTGTATCTGCATTGTCCTAAGTTTGGTCTGTCGGTTTTACTGCCCGATGAATGCCATCTGAACAGTTAATATTCTGTCGTTAGCCCGGTGAGTGATATCACTAGTTTATTTCATGTGTTCCATTGGACTCACTTATCAGTTAAACCATAGACCATACCATTCTCTTGCATGAGTGCGAACTGTGCAACTATCGATTGGTTGAATTGGATCCAGAATCTATTGTCTGCTCTACTATTGCGTTAAATCCGCACCTCACAGCCTTTATGCAGAAGTTTGTGGTCCTATGTTATTTGTCTTCCTCATTTGGATGCCAGTTCGTCAAGCACGGAATACCGGAGGAACTGATTTCGGACAATGGCCCACGGTTTACAAGTGCTGCTTTCCAGACCTTTGCAAACAAGTGGGATTTTTCACATCAACAAACCAGCCAGTACCACAGCCAGTCGAACGGGAATGTAGAGGCAGCAGTCAACCAACCCAAGCAGCTGTTATTAAAAGCGGGAGCTGCTCATGCGAACCCGTATCTGATGTTGTTAGGAATTCGCAACAGGCCATTGTCGAACACCGGTCTCAGTCGAGGTCAACGTCTGCACAACGGAAGGACAAGGGTCATATTGCCTGCGTCAACTAAACTTATACCCCCGACCTAGCAGTCTTATGAGCAACTGCACAGGAGTTTAGGAAAAAGGATGGCAGATCAGAAACGTTCTCACAGCCGCTATACTCAAACGCAACCCGAGTTATCAATAAATGATGAACTGTGAATGCATCCAACACCGGTTGTCCACGAGCGATGGAACAAAAGTGTAGTGACGGCGAAGATCGGTGAAAGATCTTATGAAGTCAATACTGGAAGGAAGATAATCAAAAGAAACCGAGTGCAGCTGAAGCAACACCCGGACCGAGAAAATGAACTTGAAGCGATGCACACGACGGCTTAAATGAAGGCCATTAAGGGACGGACAACGAAGACTATGCGGAGTGGTAGAGCGTATGAAGCTTTCAACGAAACTAGGGTCGCTAATGATGAAAAATAGAAGGATATGATGAGGATAAACCATCAGTTTGACGAGACGGGTTGCTTATTGCTGCAAACGAACAAAGCAGATTATTGGACATCTCCGCCTCTATGTTGCTTCTTTATTATTTGGCTGCGCTGGAGCTAGCTTGTTTAACTGAAGCGAAAGACGAATCTCATGATAGCGCAAGCGTCGCCAGTTATGGATGTGACCTAGTTATATACACCGAGGCTTCTAGTCTTGTTGTCATTTTCGCTGAACTTGCTTTGTTGAGGGGACTTTGTCCCTGGAGGACCGAGTTCTGCAACAGGAGACACTGAACCTGTTTCAGTGCTTCGATCAACTGTTTATACCTCAGATATCTATACACAGTTCGGACGTCTCAAGTTGGGGGCTCAGCAGACGTCAAAATCATTCCTTATGTCCCATTTGAAATGATTTCAGTCAGCGTTCGGTCCACCAATCTCATTCATCATTGACAATTGGTGGGACAGTTCTTCATGCTATTGTTTAACTGCCGAGTGTAAGTTGAACTTACGAACAAGAAGATTAGAACTTAGGTGTTTCTTTGAAGCGGGATAAGCGAATGTCAAGCTACACACACTTGAGCATGCTGCAAATCGACCGACAGTCTTGGACTGATGTGCGCTATGTGCAACTAATGGGGATATTGGGGTCTAGGTAATCGAGGAACTCGGTGGACATCAGTTAACACCATGTGAACGTTTGTGCTGGAAAGCGGTGTTACTTTTCTGAACAAGCCTAATACCGCATAGCCCGTGCCAAACAATCCGGGTCTAACATATGTCACGAAATCCAGACAGTCCCTGCCAAAGTGGAGTTTTTCAAGATACTCATTGGTCCCGTCTTTGAATTCTGCAAATTCTTCTACGGTAGCGTGCGGATGATTGACAAGAAAGTCATGCAAAATTGATAGAAGTCGTTCATCAAACGTCTGTTTAGAGGCACATTTGAACTCAACCACCGTGGACCTTGTAAGCGCTTTCACCTCGAGCCCATCTGTTTGCGGTGTCTAACGCAAAAATCGTTGCTCCGACACAATTTGCGACGTCAGTAATCGTACTGCTACCTGCCTAACTTAAAGGGGAAGCAAAATACCCGTTAAAGACTCGGCAACAAAACCTGTACTCTACTTGTATCAAGAACTAAAACAATCATGTGCTGTTTTTCTCATGAAATACGCCGTGAAACAACCTACTGACATATATCCGTACATGTGAAGCCCTTCCGTAATTCCACACATAACTCAATAGTTCCTTTAATCTGGAAGCGGTATCCATGTTGTCATTTAACAAATCACCTGATGAAAAATACCAGTATGCGCCAAAAGTATTTAGTAAACCAACCTAACGTTAATATTCATCCATGCAAGTGCATGATCATTTCCGTATAATATACTGATTTTTTTCTACTTTAGGAACAGTTTCTTGCACTTTAGAGAAATAAACTATATTGTTATAACAAAGCTTATGGTCGGCACATAGTTGCAGGAATCGATCGCCATTGTTCATTCGACGTTCATTGACCTCTAAGCGGCCTCCCACGTGTTGTTCAGTCTGAGAGCCAACGCAATTGGGCGTTCGTGCCACCATCAACAATCACAATGTCAGTATTTTTCGCCAGGCGGAGAGGCGATGAATGATGAAGTTAGAAGTCCTCTTTGATACCCTTCGAACTACAGTCAATAGGCACCGGCCAGTAGCCTTAAGGATCACAAGTCTACCTTATAATCTGAGGACGCGGGTTTGAGCCTGTGTAGGGACCGGGCTATCCTCGCAATATCCTTAGCCCGCGTGCGGCTGGTGGTGGTTGCGTGGCAATGAAGCGTCGGTACGCAGTACCGACGTACTGCTGACGTCTTTTTTAACAGTCAATAGGGTATAAACGGTTTCGATAAAAAGACCTTGTCTTCAACGCCGCTGCGTAACCCCAGTTGAGCTTCAAGGTCAAACTGCCCATATACGGGTGTTAGCTGGTATCTAGTCGAGTAGATTGCTTTCAGCCTATTTGCTGTGGCCGTTACCGGCACCAAAGCAACTTTGAGCATTGACACAGTATCGCCAAAGACGCGAAGAGCGTACTTTTCAGCAATTTCAGAATCAGGGAGTTCAGGAGTTCGTCATGAAGCCTCCCGGTCTTATTCCTTTTGGTTTACACTGGATTTGGTTGTGTGGATGGAGCTGTGCGTGGTGCAGCGCAAGCCACCCATGGTCCCTCCGTAGGCACAGGCGCCCTGTGACCACAGTGACAGGCAAATCCGAAACCGGGTGCCGCCATCCACGAACCTGCCATTTTGTATGCGTGTTTCGGAGATAGCACATATCAATAGAGTGAGAGTTAGTGCTGCTTGTTGGTCGATCTGACCCAATATGTGGACGTCATACTAAGCAATGCGAAATGAGACTCTTGATTTGAGAGACGAGTTACTCGTATCGATGTTGGCAGCTGTAAGATCAGCGACGGGGAAGATGGGAGTTCAAACGGTAGAGAAAACATCAACATTTCTCTCGTCCCCGTCGACAAACTAATTGCGTGTCTCAGCATCATTCTATTAATGGACAGGTGAACTTTACATTTGGGACCATTCGCCTTTTTCCCACCCAGCTTTCCATGACATTGTTTGCGTAGCCACCTGAGTGGTTACTACTCTTGAACATTTCGACCGGCTGTGTGTGAATTACACTCCACGCTGCTCGCATGAAATGTTAGTCCTATTACTGACCGTTTCTATCGTTTATCTCTTTATCTTAATCAGCCTGCCAAGCGGATTGCTTATGGCCTTCTATTGCTCCGTTTACTTTGTTCCACTCGATTACGGGACGCGACTATCGTGGTCAGTACGCTTCCTACCGTTCAATGCGAGAATCGCGACACCAGCTGTTCCAATGCGGGCGATCGCTTACTTCCGCGCGCAAACAAATGACCAGGTGCATGGCCCCAAACGGCTTTATTCTCTCCAACCAAGCCTATTGCCAATCGGAGGACGGATTCAACTTTTGCGCTATCCCACGTTGTAATGAGATGGGTGTGTTGATGATATTCTTTTCTGCTTTTTCGCTGTAGCAGTTATTTTTCTGGTGCAAGTACTCTTCACCTGAGGAATTATCATGCTTATCATTTTTGCAACTTTCGGCCTAGTGGGCACCTTTCATCTCATGTCTGTCTGTGACCTACCCCTTTCCACCTGTATCGAACAAAACCGGATTTCTACTCGGAACCTCTAACCCTCTTCAATCTATACGCCTTTGTGCCTTATCATCGACTCATAGGTCGTGTTCTGGCTATCGGCGACACGCCCAATTAATGAACTTTTAAGGAAATTAGATGAATGCCCGGTTGTACAGTTCTGGCTTAGTAGAAGGCCGCTTCGCTTGTTATGTGCCTTTGAATTTCATAGCTCCGCGAATCAGGATGGTGAGGCAGGTGGATTCACCAAACTGTTCACATGATACGAAACATAATTCCGCGTGGTTGACATCTAGGAGCACAATGTTTGGTTGCGATATGACTTGGCTTCCTAGCTAACATAGGTACTAAAAATGAAATGCATATAGCACAACCTGTTAGTAAGTTGTTTTTAAATATCATTTAAACCGGGGGTAGAATCAACGTTCGCAGGGAGAACATTCCACGACTAAACAACCGAGGGACATTTTAACCAGATACACTGTATTGCCCATTTTAAACGATGAACACTCAGGTTGGTATTATGGTTCATTTCCAGTAGCGGGAAGCAAATGCGGTTTGCCGGTCTTCGCATCCGCAGGCCTAGCATTAAACCAGAGATTTGTTGAAGTCACTGAACCTCTTGGCTTGCTTGCTCCTTATTATTATTATTATTATTATTATTATTATTATTATTAGTAGTAGTAGTAGTAGTAGTAGTAGTAGTATCCAGAAATGTGGTTTGGGTTCTTCAGGATTTGGCAAATCTTTATGGGGTCCCCCATACGCGCCGCTACCAACAGCCGTACAATCTCACAGGTTTAAATCTAAGTTGGTAAGGCAGATGGAAGAGCCTCATAGGATTCTTTTATGCTGTTCGTTGAAACTCCTCTAGTCCGGCGAGATCTTGCTTCTGCCACGGAGGCCACACCTAAATTGCATATTCCACATGCGGCCGCCCTTTGGCTCTAAGTAATTGTCGGAAGATTGAGGAAACAAACTGAGCAAATGCTCTAGGAGGAAGGCCGACCTTTTAACTACCGGTTCTCAACGCCTCCTAGAATTGTTTCGAGCAACCGAGAACGTTATAGGCTAGTGTTTCAAGGTCACGCTCCTGAGAGATATTCTGCGAGGTGTACTCTCCACTTTTGTACGCGCCCACCGGTTGGTGACGCAGGTGCATCAAAGTGCCATTAGTCGTATTAAACTGGAGTGGGCTTTTCATTAACTAATCCTGAACGCAATCCAGGTCACATTGGAGGAAATTGCGATCTTCCTTGGTATTCATCCTTCGCCACATCTTGACATCATTGATGGTTAGTAGGAAATTAGAGGCGATACCACTTGCAATGTCGTTGATAAACACCAGGAATAATCGCGGTCTCAGCACTGAATCCTGTGGAAAACCGCATTAATCTCCAATTGTGTTGGCGAGTGAGCAACTAGCACCCAGTTGGCATCTTTTTTGTTGAAGAAGGGTGGCAATCCACCCAAAGACACGGTTTCCGATTCCATATGTATGCTGTGAATTAGGATGTGGTGATCCAGGCGGTCGAGAGCTTTGGAAAATTCTTGATAGATGACGTCGATACCGGCCCCACTTTCGATCGTTTCCGTCCAACTATCCCTTGCCACCAGTAGGCTAATGGTGCATGACCGGTGTTGACGGAAGCCCTGCTGCTCCGGTGCTAAGACGTTGCACTTTTCCTGGTAGTTTACCAAATCCTCAGCGAACACAGTGAGCAGAGTTTTGCTGGTTATAAACTACTGCTACTGCTACCGCGTCCACCCAGTCAGGACTTGCTGTTCATCGAAGCATCTTTGGATAACCCGCTTAGTGGCCGTAACCTCCAGTACCTTCCGTCGAATGTTGTCGGCTCCCAGTGAGCACAATGAGCGCGCAATGAGCACAACTTCCTCAGCATGATTTCTTTGCTTTGCTGAACCTAATGGAAGAAGTGCCATGATTGTATAAGGTAATGTAAGCGATGGCTCCATGCACTTCAGCTTTGAACAGTTCCTTTAGAGATGATGATACCACGAGATCGTGTACCTTGAAATCCCCAGAGACTAACATATGGATGCACCTAGGGCGTATTACTTTGCTTAAAGCGCGTATCAAGCATGAACCGTCATTCGGAGTGTATCTTTGGGGTCATAAACAACAACGACGAAGTGTGCGTCGTTGTGCCTCAATCGGAGACGGCACCGGAGTGAGGCGATGATTCGAGTTTCCGGATCATCAACTATCACACATTCCAGGTCGCTGCGGTATTAAGTAAGGCTCCCACCTCCCCTACTGAGACGGTCGTTCCGGAGGAGTGACATTCTTGGTATCTCGACAGCAGAATCGGTAACTTCTCGGTGCAACCAGGTTTCAGTAATGAAAATAAGTTCCTAGGCATCTACGACCTGACTTAGTCGGGGTTCGCTATGTTTTCTGAGGACCTCTTGGACGTTAGCACACATACATGAATGCTTCTCGAATTTCAGCAATGCGTCGGAGATTGTGCAATTCAGATGTGAGATTTTGCTGAGCAGTGAGTGGTCAGCGACTAATCACTTTTTCGACGGGTACATGACTAATGGTTCGGCGTCAGATTCCTCTGCTTCGTAACTAATCCCCCAGTTAACCATCTATGTACAGCAAAAATGTTTGGTCACTCGCTTCATTTTAGGATTTTGTGTTCGTCAGACACACTACTGATGCACTGTTTTAATAGAATCCCCACCACACATGGCTTATTGACAACTATGTTGTCTTTGGTGGGTGTATCGCTAGCTGCTTTCAGACAAGGGTCAAATGACATCCTGTGACGAAACATGCACCAGCTTTTCAGTAACCGTGCTGCCATTTGTTTTGACCGAAGTACTGCCTTCAATACTCTTGGGCTACATTCTTTGTAGTTCGGTGATATGCGTAGCTGTGTCACCGATTTATTAAGCACATCATTCAAGAATACTGTTTCACGGATGTAACATCATCGTTCCTTATCACGTTATTAGTATACGCTCATCGCATGCTTCAGTTTCATGAACGCTGTGGACAAGTATGGTTCTGGCTAAACTTTCACTTCAGTGGTCTTCCAAACTGTGATTAATTCGATAACGCTAGATGCATGCGATATCGGTAAAGACAGGAATAGAGCAGTGTACATTTCCGAGTCGAGTTGTTGACAACAGAACTAATACTGCTTCGGTGGTGTAGTTCAATGTAACGCACAGAAGTTTTGTCTCCTCGTAATGCTTAGAATTGGGATGCCATCATCATCATCATCATCAACAACAGCAGTACATCAGCCATTTGAACTGATGCTTCGCTGCCATACAACCATGAAGACCTATGAAATAAAGAATAAGAAGAGGGAGAGAAAGGCGACTTACCTGCAAACTTTAATGCCCTAAGCA